AAAGGTGAAGAAGGGGAAGAAAAGAAGAAGAAAAAGGGGGACAAATTGTTGAATTTGAGTGGGGTATATTCTTTTTGAAAACTTGGTTGCCAAAATTTGATATGCTGAGGGTTATGTTTGGACAAGAACACTTTCAACAAACTGGTATACTGGATTTTCAATTATCAAAGCTAGTTAACACAATCCAAGTGGAGATATGTGGTGCAGTATAGACTTCAAACCTGACTTTATGTCTTTGAACCTTCACAGAATAGGGTTTTACTAACATTAATGTAGCAAGACATTCAACAAAGGACCTCATGAGACACCGAAATCTTTAAACAGTACGATATGTGAAGAGCAATTAGGTAAGGCGTCCAATATGTATTCAATGCACGTTCCATCTGTGCAATGACTTTATCCGTCCCCGGATTTTCCAAATTCTAAGCAAGTAACATATGTCTTGTATGGTGTATGCTCAATGCTTTGTTGCTCTTTGCTCAGTTTGCAATATCAACAGCACTACAGTGAATTACGTCAGTTGTCTCTTACATATTGAGTTTAAGGAGAGGATACACTCAAGAGGTACTTAATCTCGGATGTTGAATCGTTTAAAGTTGAGAAGCTCCATGATCATTAACAAAAATAAAAAAACAAAAAGGCTTTCAACCTGTAAATGCACATTAAAACCAGCTAGATGAAACCGATAAGCTTTGCCAAAAGTGTGCCCTGTTCATAGTAGATATTTGTGGTCGAGGTCTTGTAAAAATCGTAAATTCAAGAGGTGAAAAGTTATAGAGGCTTATTCGAATCTTGCTAATCAGGTATCTCTATGTTATTAAGCAAACGAATAAGTGAAAGAGTTTAAATGGCTTGGTACCTTTGGTTTCAGCCCCATCACTGGTTATATGAAGAAAGTGAATTAGACGACGACGACGACGACGACGACTAAGAAACAAACAATTCTGAAACAATGCGCGAAGGAGAAAAAAAAAGAAAAAAAAAATAAATTGATCTCTTGGCTTAGAACCATACGGTGTTGTGTATATTTCCCATTTGTTTTGACTTTGAAAAGGAAACTAATCAACACTCTTTGGTGGTGTATCACTATTTCATATCTCACTAGACACTCGCTTTTATCCCTTTAGTTGTTGTGGCCAACATCATTTGCTGAGAATAGGCATTAAAACCATTCCACTTTCAAACAAAACAACTCGCGTCTTTGAACCAANAAACCAAAACCAAAACCAAAACCAAAACCAAAACCAAAACCAAAACCAAAACACATCGTGGAAACATCTATTGGATACCGATCCAAACCATGAGTAATGAGAAATATGCACTGGATTTCCCCAACTCAAATTACTTGAGCAATCTAAACAATCTCAATGGAACGAATCAAAATATTCACCTCAACAGGTTACCCACGTTGGGGGAAATTTTGGCCAACAAGTCTAAATCACCAGTAGACTTGTTTACTTTCTACCAGTTTATGCAAGATGTTGAAGGAAGAGTAGACTACTTGGACTTTTGGTTCGATTTGATCAATCATTTGAACTTGTGCAAACATTATGTCAAAGGTTTAAGAGATTCCATCGTGCGCCAGTCATCACATTATCAGAATAATTCCCAACGACAATCACAACCAGTCAGAGACGACACAAGTATAGCTTCGGGGATCAATCAACAGGCGCAACGTAACAGCTCGTCGTCTCGAGTGAATTCTTCTGCAACACCCAACAGAGGTGCTTTCCCATTCAGAAACTCGAATCCAATATCGGAAACTTCTGCCAAGCACAAGTCTTTGAGTTCGTCTATTCTACTTGACTTGATTATTAATGACAACATTCTCGAAGAAAATGATTCACATCGGTTATCGGCATTCTTGAGAGGTGATATAAACTTGGATAATCTAGACCCTAAATTGAAAGACCTTATTGAACAATACAATGCCGAAATTGAGGCTAATGAAGGTGCAAATAGAGGCGTCGGTCCTTCGTCTGCGCAAAATGTCCAATCTCCCGGTTATTCAGTTGGAAAATCGTCACCTAGCTTTTTGTCAAATTCACGATTTTCCGGCTCGTCTTTCCACCCAAATGAACCGAAAAGAGTTGGTTCGAACTCGGGACTCATGAGTGAAGGCTACCAAGGTGATGGCGATAGTATTGATCATTTCCCCCACTCAAATGACTCTTCGTATGAAAATCAATTGGATATTGGACAAGCTGATCAAGCAGTGAGTGCCTCGCAATATGTCTCCTTGCAAACAGGTAACAAGTCCAATACCAGTATAGACAAATTGAAGCATGACTACCCCCAGCCACAAAGTCCATATGCGAGGGAATTTGGCCAAAATCAACAACGTCACTCGAATCGAAGAGAATCAACTGTGAACCCATCATTATTGGAAAGGTTAATTAAAGATTCTCCAGCTACATCACATGGTTCTTTTATAACCAGAAACAACTTACGAGAATCGTCACACAATTTGTTATTGAAATACTTTGTTGAAGATTCGGAAAAGAATTTAAATTTACCATCGCATGTGAATTCCTACATCATCAAGCTGATTGAAGTGGATGGGCGTGACGACCCTGACGTTTTCAACTATGTCAAGCATTACGTTTTCAATAGATTGGAAAATGACCATTTGCCCAAATTCCTTGACTTTATGGCCACTAGAAACATCAACCATTCGAATTTCGGAAGAATCATTGCTGGATTCTTTTTCTTATTTATTGCATTTTGGGTAAGTTTCATATTGGTGTTTTTGAATTATCGAAAGGGGTTACGACCCGTTATAGTTGCTCCATTTTTGGTTGCTTTCTATTTGGTTATATCATCCATTTATTTGCTTGATCCAGTCATGGCTTGGTTTGGAATACTGGAAACGTTTTCAAAGAAAAATGGGCAATCCTTGATCAGAGTACGGGAAAAGTTTGTATACAATTTCCTCTTGAAGAGGAGTTTGTGGGTGTTGTTTTTGATTTTGGTCTTGACTGCCATAATGACAATCTTGTTTAGTTTAGTTCCTGGTCATCGGTTATAGTGCCACCACTTCTCATCTACGCCCTTAATATAATACGTTTATGAGCAGAAATATCCTATCAAATCTCTACACTTTACAAACTTCAAGTACAAAAAACGTTATGTATTAGTAACACACACCCCTTTCTTCGACTTCCCGATTTAAACCATTATATACTTCTGCTGTTTCTCTCAAACAAAAGACTGATGAAAGAAAGCTTCCAACGTCCTCTGTACAACTATTAAATTACATACAAAGGACTTTTCTTCTTCATTACCGCATCAAGATACCTCCTCCAAACATGTTTATTCGTCAGTAGTACCTTCAGCCAAGTAAGCTTCTCTCTTTTCGTTGATTCTTTGTTGTCTTCTTTCTCTAGCAGCTCTGTTTCTAACTCTTCTGGCTTCGGCTTCTTCCTTAAGAGCCTTTTCACGCAAAGCTTCAGCCTTGGCGGTGATGATGTGTTCAACCAAAGATCTCTTGTGTTTAAAAGTGTTACCCTTAGCAGCCTTATACAAGTTGTGGTACAAGTGTCTGTCAATCTTACCAGCGTCTCTGTATTTAGCCAATAATCTTCTCAAGACTCTCAATCTTCTCATCCACAAAACTTGTTGTGGCATACGGGCATCCTTGGTACCCTTTCTCTTACCGTAACCCATGTGTCTACCAGCAGCCTTGGACTCCTTCAAAGCTCTAGCTCTGGACTTGGAGTGGACAGTGTTTGGCTTCTTGACAATGGTACCGTTCTTGTACAATTTTCTAATAGCATGTCTGGAGTTGGCATTGGCGATTTCAGAGGTTTCATTTGGGTCCAACCAAATCTTTCTCTTACCGACACCAACAACGCTTGCAGCGAGTCTCTTTTGAGTTCTTAAGTTAGCCCTGGAAATGAAGTTAGTATACTTTGTTTGAGTGATGGGTTGGCATAATCCTTGAAATAGTTCGAGTGGCAAGTCCGCACTAATTATGTGAGGAAAATGATAGTTGTAGTGATACACTATGGCCCTCCTTAGTCATAGGTGATGGTCCTCTTTTCTTTTAAAAAAAAAAAAGGAGACACATTCCAATGTCGTTGCCTGTTTGATTGAATTTGGCCGGTGATCTTTTCCCTTTCATTCAAAGCTCAATCGTGACAATTCAACCTGTTTTCTTTCCACATATGAAAGCTCCACTCATATATCTGTTTCCCTCTCTGGATTATGCAAACTCTGGATCCCCATATCGGTGTTTATAACATACATCTTTGCTTGATATCTAGTAACTGTAAGAGGTTCACCAGTATTTTTTTTTTTAAAAAAACTTTCTCTCTCTCTTCTTCTGAAAAAATGTGAGTGAAGGAGGGAAATTGTTGAATGGAGAAAATGCCATCTGACAGTACTGCGGCGTGGATTCAAACGCAAACACACAATTTTTTTTCTCTCTCTCAGTGAGCATGTGTTTAGAGCCCTACTAGAGAGCAGTCTCACGTGATAGATACATCTGCGCGTAACTGCATCTCGGTCTTTTGAAACCTCATCTCATCTCATTTCATCTCGAATCCCATCCCATCCCATCCCATCCCATCTGGAGGAGAATTGTATACAACCGGTTGAAATCTCTGTAAACACCCCCCTCACCCAATTCTTCACTAACACACAGCCATGGCAAAGTCATTAAGATCCAAATCCAAGTTGCAAGCAAAGTCGGTGAAAAGAAAAGGAGAATTCGCCAAATATGCTGACGAAAGAAGCAAAAGGTTAGCTGAGAAGTTGGCCAAAGAAACAGCCAAACAGGAAGCTGAGAAAAAGAGCAAGCAGAATAAGGAGCAAGAGACGATGGATTTGGATGGACAGGATGTTGATGGAGGAAAGAGCAAGAAGGTTAGCACGTCTGGATGGAGAGATTCTAATTCTCAAAGATATAAACAAAGACAACTCAAAAACAAATCGAAAAAGAAGACATTAAAGTTTTGAAGTGGAATAAAGAATGCATAGCGCATTTGAAACTCTGTAACCCCCTTTTGGGTTGAGAGTGATATTTTAATCATCTTCAAGCATTCAGTTCCAGCTACAGAATCTTGGTTCGGTTCAGATCCACGCTGGTTCGGGATCTTAAACACATCCGGAAAACCAATAGAGACAACAAAACTATACATGCATTGTATATAAATAGTGATAATAAAATGTGTATAATAGAATATCTAGAGCAATCTCACTTTTTTAATTTATCTGTAAGGTAATCCTCGTAACCGATTTCTTCCACAACTTCAGCTTTCTTCAATACTTCCTCCTCCATATTGTTCATATAACTGCTCATTTTATTCAACCATTTCGAATCAACAGCTCCCAAAATCCTTACTGCTAATAATGCAGCATTAGTACTGTTGTTGATGGCAACAGTAGCCACAGGAATACCTCTTGGCATTTGCACAATTGAATGCAACGAATCAACTCCATCTAAAGTGGATCCTTTCACAGGAACACCAATAACTGGTAATGGAGTCATGGCAGCAACCATTCCCGGTAAATGAGCAGCACCGCCGGCTCCGGCTATGATACATTTCAAACCGCGCTGAGCTGCTTCAATGGCATACTTGGACATTCTGTGTGGGGTACGATGAGCGCTGACAATGGTTAATTCAAAGGGAACGCCAAACTGCTTCAAAATACGAGCACCAACCGCCATAACTGGTAAATCAGAATCGGAGCCCATGATTATTCCCACTAATGGCTGTTCTTTCTTGCCAGCAACAGTTGATGCAGGTTTATTGCTACTGTTTCCCATTATGTAGGCCAATCTATTTTCAGCATCGTCCATCGAAGAAGTGACAATATTGATGTGGCCCATTTTACGTTCGGGTCTGGTGGTTTTCCCATACAAATATACTGTCGAATGAGGAGTTTCCAATGCTCGACGACACGTTTCCAATTCCTTGTTTGGAGTTTCTTTATCGCCCAACACATTCAACATGATGGCATTGGTAGTTGTGGTTGCAAATTCAGTGAATCCCTTGGGCATGGGTAATCCAGTGACTGCTCTAACGTGTGCTTCGAATTGAGAAGTGACACAAGCGTCAATTGTATAGTGTCCTGAGTTATGAGGTCTTGGTGCAATTTCATTAATCAAAAGCTCACCATTGTCTAACAAAAACATCTCAACTCCAAATATACCGCAACCAGGGAAGGATTTGACGGCATTCTGGGCCAATATAGATGCCTTCTCAGCCAAAGTATCATTGATCCTTGCTGGTGCATATACAAGATGGCATATGTTGTTTTGGTGTATGGTTTCCACTGTTGGGTACGAAAAGACTTCACCTTCAATCGATCTGACAACCATGACTGCCAATTCTTTAGTGAAGGGACACCATTTTTCAGCATACAATGGACGATCAGCTAAGAACTCCAAGGCTTTTTCAACGCAAGACTCGTCTTTAACAACAAAGTTGCCTCTGCCATCATATGCCAAAGTTCTTGATTTCAACATGAATGGGTATCCATATTGTTGGCCCACCTTCAACAACTCTTCACTTGTATTCGCATTAATAGCTTGCGATTCGGTAACAGCAATGCCGTGTTGTATCAAATGCTCCTTTTGTAAGAATTTGTCCTGAATCAACTTGATAGTTTCAGGTAAAGGATATATTTCAATTTTGGGGAATTTAGTCTGAATCTTTTTCAAAGCACCAACATCAACATGTTCAATTTCAACAGTGAGGATGTCAACTTTTTCAGCCAATTTTGCAATGGATTCATAATCAGTAAAAGAGCCATCGACATGGTCATCGAGGGCATTGATTTGTTTAGCTGGAGATTTAGGGGCATCTAAAATAACAGTCTTGATGTTGAGTCTGTGTGCTGCTTCAACAATCATACGACCGAGCTGGCCACCCCCTAATATACCTATAGTCTTGCTGTCCATTGCGTGTGTGTATGTGTGTGTGTGTGTGTGTGTGTGTGTGTGTGTGTGTGTGTGTGTAGATGTTGTGTGTGTCTGTGTGTGTGTGTGTGTGTGTGTGTGTGCTGTGCTGTTGGTGATGTTTCATTGACGCGTGTTGCT